GCATCCCCCTTCCTCCCTGCTTTCCCATTCCTGAATAGGAAGCTGCTCCCAAACGTTGGGACCGAATTGTGGAGCTGTGGGAAAGCCCTGAGTGCTTCCGTGCGACTCTGAGCAGCTGCTCCTGGGGGAGAAGAAGGGAAACGAACGCATTCCAGCCTGGAAACCATGCAGGAGTGAGCAGGGCTGTGTTTAATCAAGAGAACAGAGCTTGCAAAGCAAATGGCTCCAACGTGCGGTTTCAGATCTGAGCCCCAGTGGTGCAGAGCTGCTCTCGGTGCCCATCTGAGCCTAAAAGCTGCCACAGAGCAGCGTGGAGTGGAGCCGGTGCTCCGAGTGCAGCGGATGTGGGCACGGAGAGTGGGAACCTGCAGCGCGTTGGCTTTGGTGGTTGGTTGAATCGCCGTTTAAAATGGCTTTTTTTTTTCCACTCCCAACGTCTGCCATCGCCCCGCTCAGCCCAGCCCAAAGCCAGCGCTGTTTACAGAGCAGCAGGGAAGGGCAGGAAAGCTCTGTTTAGGAGAGAAATTCCTGCAGAAAGAACAGAAATCCCCGGGAAATGCAGTGGGAAGAGTGCTCAGCTCTGTGCCCACTGGTCCTGGTCACACTGTGTCCCCATCCCCATGTGCCCATCCCCATCCCCAATCCATCCCCATCCCCATCCCTACTTCCATCCCATTCCCCATTCCATCCCTCTCCCCACCTCCATCCCATCCCCATCCCCATTCAATCCCCATTCCATCCCCATCCCCTTTCCATCACCATCCCCATCCCCACCTCCATCCCATCCCCATTCCATCCCCATTCCCACCTCCATCCCATCCCCATCCCCATGTCCCCATCCCCACCTCCATCCCATGCCCATTCCATCCCCATCCCCATCCCCACCCCCATCCCATCACGGCTCTGGCTTTCCTCCCTGCTGTGTCCCATAGGAGCAGCTCCATCCATCCACCTCACCCCACAGTGGCTGTTTCCTCAGGAATCCTGCTAATCTCATTGTGAGCAGGACGGCCTCATTTGCCCGTGATTTTAATTTCCCTTCGAGTTTTGCTTCCTCCTATGGAAGGTGGGAAATGATGCAATGCTTCAAGCAGAGGATGGGATCGTCCACACCTTCCTGCTCCATCTGCAGCAAAGAGCCCCAGCCACAACCCAAACCGATGGTCCTGGGGGGTCCCTTACAAAACATTGCTCCCATCCTTGGCTGCCTCTCCACCTTTTGCAGATTGCTTGTAGCATTGGAGCTTTAACGCACAAAAAAGACCTAAAAGTGCACAGCTTACATAAAATGGGAATGGGGAAAATGTTGGCTTTGGCCACATTTCTTGGCTGCCCTTTGGATGATGCTGCTGTTCTCTGTTACAATTGGGTAAGAATGAACCTCAAGGGAAGAGGCTAAAACCCAAAGCGCAGAGGGAGTGCTGGGTTCCTCCAGTCAGAAAACCTGCATGAGGGGGAGTTGGGATCTTTGGGTGTGGGGGGTTGGGATGTGGGGAGGTTTGGGGGGTTTGGTGGGGGGGTTTGAGGATGATAAGAGGGGGTTGGGGCCGTGTGGGAGGGTTTGGGGATGCTTGGGGGCTGCAGGGATGTTTGATGGGGGGCTTTGAGGATACTTGGGGGTGGTTTGGGGGTGCTGGGGGTGTTGTTTGGGGATGGATGGATTTGGGGACGCTGGGATGCCTTCCCATTGCACCCCCAAACCCGGTGCAACACTGAGAGCCAGCACAGCGCAGCGCCCATCGCTGTGCCCATCCCAACGAGGGCACAAGCAATGAGAACTGCATCTCTTTCTCATCAAACCCACTTCTCCCCACTGTGTAACGCACAGAGGTTGCTCTGGGAGCCCCCAGGATGTTCTCCATCACCTCCACCCCATGCACTCACCTCCTCTCCCCTCCTCCTGAGTCCAGCCTGCGCTCCGTTGCCTTTTTGGAGAAGGCTCTGAACCGTCCGCCCCAGAAAGCAGAGCAGCAGCATTTTGCTTCCCCTCGTATTTCCCTCCGAAAAAAAAAATTATATATATATTTTTTCCTGTTTTGGTTTTTGTTTTTAGAGACGAGAGGGGAAAAAAGGAACTGATGCCAATACTTCTCTGATCACCACGTGTGTGGATGCGCAAAGAGCCTCCCCAAAAGAAGGCATTCCTCTGCGCCACGGGACTCAGATAACCTCAGCCTGCTGCTGGTCAAGTTTCTTCTTTCTGATAGGGAAACTGAGGCAGGAAACGAAACGACAGCTGGAGAACAAATAAAAATAAAAATCCCCAAAGTGTTGAAGGGAGGGGGAACCGAATCTGAGAGCTCCGGCCCCAAATCGGCAGCTCTCAGCAGCGCAGCCCACAGCCCAACCTGACCCCGCGTGGTGCGGGGGTCCCGGTGTCCCACATCCTATATCCCAGTGCGGGGGCAGCTCGTCCAACCCCCCTCAGTGTCATTTCCTGCCTCTGGGCTGCAGCTCCGGGACGTCTGAAGGAACTGAGCAGTGCGGAGCAGCGTCCGAAGGCGACGCCGGGACGTGTAGGATGATGAACTTTGCATGGGCATCACTCATCCTTCTTCATTTTACGTTGGGTAAAAAGGCATTTCTTTTTTTTTTTTTTACTTCTTCCTATTTGCTGCTTTGGGGTGGTTGTGATGCTGAGATGCTGTGCGGGGCTGAAGGGTTTTGGGGGTGTTTTCTCAGCAACTGGGGGGGGCGAAAGCAACTTGAGAGCAGCTGGGAGCTCCGGGTCACAGCCAAGCGTGTGCTCAAGGTTTGATAGATTGCAATGCTTGCTGTACTGCACTCAAATGAACACTTTGTACAGCTGAGAGCTGTAAGAGATAGAAACGGGGCGAGGGAAAAGGCAGGATTGCTCCAGCTGTGCTTTGGGAAGCAGAACTGGAGTCAAGTTGGGCAGTGGCAGCAGTCAGAGCTGCTCCTGCTTCCCAGGCAGCCAAGGAATGGAGCTGGGTGTCCTCTGAGGGGTTAAATGGGATTTTGGGATGAAAGCTCCTCGCTGTGACTCCCGTATTATTTCCCGTATTATTCTTAGCGTGGCTCCAGCGTAAATACAGCAAATAGCTTTCTCAGAATGCGTGGGGAGAAAGTGCTGGGAGTTTATCCAACTGGAGCCAAAAGGAGCAGAGCTTTTCCCATGGCCATAGGATGTCGGCTGGGTGGCTATGAAGCGACACGGAGCTCCAAAAACCAGAGATTGATGGGATGTGAGCAGCTTTCGAGGCAGGGAAATGGGATTCGGAGTCGTCATGCTCCCTAACGGTGGGGTGTGACGCTGAGAACCATTGGGTCCAGGATGGGGAGGTTGTAGGGCAGAGAGGGGCACCCATGGGTGCTACCAACCCCGATGCAACCTTAACATGATGGGGTCAAACTGTCCGTTCCCAATTGGCTCCCTGCATACGAAAGTCCGATGTGGAGAAGGGAAATGAGTGGGGGCTTGCCGTGGTTTGGATTGAGCTGTGTGTGCATCCATTTATAGCAGCTTGGCAGGGAGGAAATGCCAGGTGAGCGCTCGCAGCACCCCGAGGGCACCCAGGATGGATGTGGGCACTGGGGATGAGCCCCACAGCCCCCGTTACTCCGCTCCTTTCCTGCAAATCCGTCCCTAAAATACAGGAAAACGCGACGCGGCGGCCAGCCCGTAACTTGATATCTTTTGTTCCACGACCTTGATTTAATTACGGACCAGATTGGGAATCCGTTACTCCCACGGGGGGGGGAGGGGGGAGAAGCAACTTTTGCACAAAGAGCCAATAAATCAGTGAAACCATTCCTGCAAAACCACATCCCACAGGGCTCTGTGCAGGGGGAAGGCAAAGCGGTTCTTTTTTTGTTTTTTTTAGGAAATGCTGAGATAGGAGACGAGGAAATGACCAAGTTTTTATACGACTACGCATCTCACTACAGTAAGCAATCTTCGTTTTGGGCTAATTTTGTGCAAATTGAGCGATGAAAGCAAGGTGGAGGGGGGGCTGGGGTAGGAAAGAGGATTCAAAGGCCAATCCAGAGCTGTTTTGCTGAAGCTGCTCTGGCCTCAGCAGTTCTCAGCATCACATGAGATTGCATCCCACCAAGCCAATGGGGTTACACTGGATGTTGATGCAAAATGGGCCCACGGGGCCGTGCTTTCGTTCCAGGTGATTACCTATATGCCACTGCAGAGTACTATTATGACAACACCACGCTAATGCCCACAGTGTACACGGTGCTCACATACTATGAAGGTGAGGTAAGTCGGACTTCCTCTTCGTATTTCTGAAAAAAAGTAGAAAGGATTCTTCCGCTGCAGTGAGAAATGGGTTGAAATGTTGACTTGCAACTGTTGGACAACACAGAAGTGTTTGGGCAGAGGGCATCCATGCTGCAGCTGTGATGTGCTGTCGCAGCGCGGGCTGTGATTCTTCCTGAACGCCCCTTTGAGCACCATATTGCTTGGGAGAAGGGATTTGGGAAAGACGGTGGTACTCCTCCAAATTCTAAGCAAACTGAAGGCCTTTGCTTTGCTAAGCTTCTGACAGCGAGAGTCCCCCGAGGGATGCTCCCAATGGGGATTGTCCCAACTGGGATGATCCTGATGGAGATTGCCCCAACTGGGATGATCCTGATGGAAATTGTCCCAACTGGGATGATCCTGATGGAAATTGTCCCAACTGGGATGCTCCCAATGGAGACTGCCCCAACTGGGATGATCCCAATGGGCATTATCCCAACTGGGATGCTCCCAATGGCGATCATCTCAACTGAGATGCTCCCAGCTCCCCACAGGAACACTCCCAACAGGGATTATCCCAACAAAGATACTCCTGGGCACATTTATTTTCCCCAAGGCCTAAGCAAGGGGACAGCATGAAGGCAGAGCAGTTGGGCAGGGCATGAATTCTGCCACCACACAACACAGCTCCAAACCATGCTGGTTTTGACCCATTCCTTTTCATTGACTTCCCAGGAGTATTTGGACGCGGAGGGATTACCCCTGCAGTGCCATCTGCCTCTGCTCCTCCTCCTCAGCTTCCTGCACCTCCTGCTATGATGCACCAAAGGTACAAAGCCAAGCACTCACTCCAAGCACCCCTTTAAGCCAGCAAAACGCAATTCTCTCCGAAGCAGCGGCGCTCTGAAGCACCTTTCCACAACCATCAGACCTCTGGGCACCCGGCTCTGCGCTAACGACAGCCAAAGAAGCGTGAATCAGCACAGGAACTGTGTAAAAACCAGAAGCCAAAGGGACTTTTAGGGTGTTTCCCAAAGCACCCAGCCATCCCACACTCTGCATGCAGCCTCCAGCGTGGGGAACTCCACGACCCCGGAGCCCAAACCCTGTTGGCATCCAGGTGTGCTCTGAATTCCCCCACGGCCTCGAGTCCATCCAACGCACAATGGGAGGACATGGGAATCACTTCCTAACCTCTTCCCCTCTTTGCAGACACGACGGCTGAGACGAAGAAAAGAACACCGTCACTGCATTGGAAGCTACATCCTCTGCACGAAGCAGTCATCTCTGTTTTTAGTACGGCTGTGATTTTATACACAGATTTTTTTTCCCCCCCCGGCAGATGGATGATGCCATCCCGAGCCATAAAAGCTGTGCAAACACTGAGGAGCTTTGTAATGACTAGCTTCTTTCCTACTTCCTATTATTCTGTTGTAAATATGAACTCCTGCCAATAAAGTGACTAACAATTGACTTTCTGTCTCAGTTGTGTGTGACAGCCTGGAAGCACACTGCTGATTGCAATGCCTGCATGGAAAGCACAGCATTGTTATCCCGATGGGGCGAACCTGCCCGGCCCCACTTCTGTCTCTAAGCAGCAAAGTCTCAGCAGCTTTGGGGCTTGGAGCAGATTTTTGCCATTTCCCAGCTCTGTACATCGTTAGATGTTAATAGAGATGCTTTGGTACAGCCCAAAGGATGGTTGTCCTGAGATGCCAGGAGTCAGCACTGTGAGCTTTAATAGGAATTACAGAAATCAGAGAGATGGGAGAAATCAAAGCTCAGGTTGGAGGGGACCTCAGAGGTCAGCTGGTCCAATCTATTGTGATAAAAGCACATCCCATAGCAGAGCATCCAACACTTTGTGTATCCAAACCTTAAATTCTCCAGTATTAGTTTCCACCATGTCCCTGGGGAGTTGTTGCAGCGTCTGCATGTTACCACAGTGACAAAATTGTCCTCTTGGGACCAACTGGAATCTCCTCCAGTGCCACTGGTGCCCATTTCCCCATTTTTTGTGCATGGTTCCTTATAAATGAGGAGTGTCCAACTCCTTTGCAGACAGACATCAAATACTGGGACACACAGATGAGGTCTCCTGAGCCTTTTCTCCAGGCTGAACAAGTCCAGCCCCTCACCAGCCCTAAGAGCATCCCACGGTTCTGCTTTGAATCCTCTCCAGCCCATCTCCAGCCTTTCTGAATGGCAAAAAGCGAGACCAGCATTCCAAGTATGGTGCAAAGAGCGCAGAGCAGAGCAGGATATTTCTTACTTTGCTGATGCCACTGGCACTGCCTTGGCTTGCAGCGACTGATAGCACAGCTTCACCTCCAGAGGGTGAATGATCAGCCAACAGCAGCAGAGCAGTGGTGTGCTGCTACTGCAGGAGCTCCATAACGTTCCTCCCTTGGACCTTTAAAGATCATAGAAGCACGGAAATACAGAAGGGGTTGGATTGGAGGGCGCTGTAAAGACAACAGAACCACGGAATCGCAGCACAGTTGGGTTGGAAGAGATCTGGAAGATCACAGATCCATGGAGTCACAGAACGGTTGGGTTGGAACCGGCCTTAGAGACCACGGAACCATGGAACAACAGAAGGGGTTGGGCTGCAAGGGACCTTAAATTCTTTACTCAGAGGGCAGTGAGGCCCTGGCGCTGCTGCACAGAGCAGTGTGGGTGTTCCACCCATGGAGGTATCCCCAAGAACAGTGGGGAGGGCCTGGTGGGCTTCCAGGGGTCCCCCAAAACAAGTAGGGCCACGTGGAGGACCGCTGACCATAGAGAGCGGCAGGGCAGAGAGGCTCCAACGGGAGGAAAGGGACTTCCGGGTGGCCGGGATGGACGGGTGCGCCTATAAAGGGCGTGGCCATGCAAATATATTGCATCGCTGCACCAATCAGACGCACCCGGGAGCACGAAAGGACCGCTGGGAGGGCCAAGCGGGTGCGTTCTCGGCTCAGTGCGGAGAGGAAAACGGTTCAAAAGAAGTGCCGAAGCGATGGGGGAAGAGTGCTCGGGTGTTTAGTTGTACTGGGGGTGTCACGGGGTCTGGTGCTCTCCATGCTCAGCAATGCTTTGTTGGGCAATGTACACAGTAAAACCAAGGGAAGCATCTCTTTGTTGCAACATGGACGGGTCAGGGTGGGGGAAGGACGTGGGGACACACATTCTGCTCGCTTCCTGGGTGCCCTTGCAGGACAGCCTCAAACATCCTCTCCTGGAGCACGACTGATGCAGATGCTTCCATGGGCGTTTGGTGTTCCATTCCTTTTGGCTCTCTGCTGTGTGCAGTGAGGACATGGACAACAACCACCCCCAGCAATAGGATCCCCAGCGCTGTCAGCAGCAGCAGCACTTTGACAGGGCTGCAGAAGAGTGAGGAGACACCTGGCAAACAAACCAACCCTCACGGACTTCAGAGCTGAGCGCATTCTGCCCAACTCCTGCACCCAGCTGCTCAGATGCTGCCTTTCTCCCAGCTGCTGCCATCAGGACATCGCCAGGTTCCGGTGGCAGCAGCTGGAAGGACACAGGAAGAGGTGTGAGATCCAAGATCCAAGACCTAGCTGAAGGCAGCCTTGCCCATTGCAGGGGTTGGAATGAGGTGTCCTTTAGGAAGATGTACTTTGCAGAGATATGGAAACAAGAAGCCCCTTCCCCAAAGCTCAGCCCACAAAGCCAACAGTTCTGCCTCCCATATGCACGGGGCTGTTTGTCCCAGGACAGCACAGAGCAGTTCTCAGCACTCACCATAGGAGATGCTCAGGGTGATGGAGCTGCTGGACATGGAGCTGGGGCTCTGGCACTCATATTTTTTTTCCCCCCTCCATCCAGAGGAATGGGATTGTGATGGAACCTTTTCATGGAAGGCTTTTGCTGCCCTCCTTCCCCACTGTTTTGGGCTCCATCCACATCCAACCCCTGAGGTCACGCACATTATTTCTTTGGACTTTTTTTTTTTAGCCATCCCAGAAGGAGATTCTATGCTGACACCAATGGAAAGAAACCCACTTCTCAAGTGGAGAAAAGTCTTCAAAGGTCACAGAGGGGGAAGAAGCTCTACTGCAGGGTCAGGATCTTTGTCTTTTGTCAATGTTTGCTACTTACAAAGATGAACCTCCATGGGGATATGGAGGTGGCTGCTAGCAAACGTGCATCATCAACATGAAAACATGAAAAAACAGGGGCATTTGCAGAAGATTTCTGTAAGGTAAGAACTCAGAATATCGACCTACTGTTGTTTTTCCTTTGTCCATATATTTGAAAGACAAGCCACACTTCTCAAACGAAATACCAACACAAGGTTCCAAACCACTGCCTGACCACCGGATTTCTACTGGAAACACAGCAGTTTTCTTAAAGCATCAGACAGGTCCAACAAGCAGAACTGGGAGGAACAAACAGGGTTAAAACATCAAAGCAGCCAGGAGCTACCAAAAAGAACGAGGGAAGGGGAACATGGTGGAGGAAACGCACCTTGGATGGGGAGCACGCGAGCACTGCGAGCGTCAGCGGCCGAGACGCCGCCATGAAAAGTCATCATCTCCTGCCTGAAGCCTTCTGGGGTGTCGTAAAGGAGCAGGATGGGGATTTATGGAGGAATACACGTAAAATAAAAGAGACACCTGCCTGGAGATCATCTCTGCCGGGACTCGAACCCGGAACCTCTGGATTAGAAGTCCAGCGCGCTCGTCCATTGCGCCACAGAGACCTCACCGTGAGCACAGCAGCGGCACCAGAACTGAAAAATCCCGCACCCCGCATCACTGGGGGGGTCCCCACACCCCACTCCCACCCCACGGCACCGAGATGGCACGAAAACCTGGCGCCCAGATCCATCTCCCTTGCAACCCGACATCTCAGCATCCCTTCCTCCCAGTCGGATGGGCGATAATCCCGGCTATGATCCATATCTCGCTCGGCAGCGGGGATGCAGCAAAAACCTGGAGGTAGGATTGTGTCTGCATCCCTGGCAACCTCTCCGCAGCATCTGTGGCTCAGCTGAGGGCAGAGCTAAATCCTGGAGCAGAGTGAATCGCTGCTTCTCCCAGAGCATCGTCGCAGCATCCTCATCGCAGGGGAAAAGATGAAAGAAGATTCCGCTTACGAAGCCAAACAGTGACAATAAGGAAGAAAGCTCTGCTTGTCACGGTGAAGAACAAAGAAACCTGCGGTTTAAGCAGAGAAATAAAAGAAAATGCAGCCATCGTCTTTTATTTTAAGCAAGCTGTCAATCGAGGGTGTTTAATTCTTCTCTAAATGCATCTTCTGTCAGAAAAAATGCAGGTGTCAAAACATGAGGAAAACCTTTTGCATCCTCCGAGCCACTACACAACAGGTGAAGCTCTGCTTCCTTGCTGCGATGACCCACATCCTGCATTTCTAAACCCCACAGTTTCTGGAGCAACGCTTACTCCCAAAAAGAGGGAGAAATCGGGCTGTGAGGCGATGCGGCGCCTGAGCAGAAATGCAGCGCCAGGCGTCTCAGTGCTTCCCAGGTGAAACTGAAGCACTGGGTTCCACCCTTGGTGGTTCGTAGGAGGGTTTTCCATTGTCCTGACGCCTGCTTTTCAGTGGGTAAATGGGTTTTTAATGGGCGCTGAGGGTTTGTGCTCTGCAGAACATCAGTAGGGCGAGTGGGAAATCAGAACCAGAGTTTTTTCCCTTCCTCTTTGCTCTGCTTTTCCTTGGAAGAAAGCTGCAAAGAGAGGAAAGGAAGGCGAGGGTTGAACTTCTATCAGACAAAACCCTTTCTGCTGCAAGTGGTGTCCAGAGAATCAACAGCCCTTGAGATAAATGGCTGCGTGAACCAACTGCAGCGCCACAACTCCACCTCCACCTTGAGAATGCATGAAGAAAGCGCCTACAGGCAGGGTGAACAAGGGCTGAGCTTAAAGGCTGCCACCTCATAAATCTCTGACCAAGTCAAAAAGAGCTGAGGTTGAGCAGAAAAGAAGAAACAAATTTCACACAGCTCGTGACCGCACCGCGTTTCATGTTGGAACCAACCAACTCTGGGAGGTGACAGCCTCACAGGTCAGGGGATGGGGACAGGGAGGAATCTGCCCTTCTAGCCTTCCCCAAGCTGTTGGCTGTCCCTCTGTTACTTCCAAATGCAATAAACCTGACAAGAAGAGATTGGAGCAACCAGCACACCTGCAGGTCAACCATTTTTGATGCCAAGAATGCCAACAGAGCTATTGGTAGGAGAAGATGAGAATGAGATTCCATCAGCTGCTTTGAGACCAAAGCCACATCTCCATTTAGATGAAGAGATGAGGTTGTCCAACATGAGTTACAATGCTGTCAGGTGTTTACAACATGTCCCCAGTGCTCAGAAATGTTATGGGGATGAAAGAGCTGCAAACAAAGTGCAAATCATCCCCCAGCTCGGCCCCGGTTTGCTGTAAATGGAAGAACGCACACCGTGTGCAATGATACCAGGGAGCCAAAATAGACCAAAATAACTGCCCACCTTATAGACAGCTCCAAATTTCTCCAAATCCTTCCGACTTGCTGCCTATTTTCTTTTTTCCTAACTGTAATGATTTATTTGCCTTCCTTCTCTCGCCAACCATCGAACGCCCAAAGCACAGCCGCTTGGTTTGGCCGCCACGTCCTCAAAACTGCAATGTCTTTGTGTCTAAAAGGCACTGCACCAGCAACCCCTGCATTGGCCCCCCTTCATTGGCATTTGGCTCCCCTTCATTGTCAACATCTCATTATGAGACAGAGCCAGAAGTCACCAAGCTGGCGATAAAGAAAGACTCCAAGCAGAAACCCCCACATCCAAACCCCTTCGCCTGCAGAGCAGAGCTCAGAGATGTGCTCCCCAACCCCCCTTGAGCCTGCTGTGCAGGTGGAGCAGGATTTGGAAGCATTACTGGGGTATCCAACGCAAGGTCACCACCTCTGGCAAAGCAACCCGAGGACAGGGGATGTTTCCTGGAGGACAACGGGGGTCTGGTTGGCACCATCCCTGCTGCCTTGGCATAGCTGAGGGAAAAAGATAAACCTGAGCCTGGGTGGGACAGCACAGAGCTCAGCAGCTGTTGGAGATGGGGTTGCCCAGCTTTCCTCTATTGGTTGGTGGTCCTGCAGAGCATGAGCTGAGGAGCTGCAACCTTCCAGGCCTCAGGACTGGGAACACAAGAATCAAGGATAAAACCCCCCTTCTCCGCCCCACAAGGGCTTTCCAAAGTTTAATGTTATGCCCTGAGTGATGTCAAGGCACAGCTTGAGCGCGTTTGGGGCTCACAGCATCCTCTCTGCGTGCGTTCCTCAGCACGCCTGATCACATGAACAATCCAAGTCTGCCAGAATGCATCCAAACCTGCACCCCACCGTCACCCAAGCACAGCTGTACAGTTCTAGGCACATTCGTGCCAACCTCATGGGCAAGACGGTGTTTCTGAGCACCCCTGCTGCTCTGCAGCAACGACAACTTGGTTCTGAAGCAGCCAGAAAGCAAAAAGTCCCTCTGCCTTTGCTCCTTGCAGAAGAGCAGCATCAGCAATCTCTGCGTGCCACCGACGCCGTGTGATCCACAACCACCTCTGCCTAGGATGGAGATTGATGCCTCCAGGAGGACGGTGCCGTTTATGATTCATAAATTCAGGGCACATTTTGAAGGCAGCTGTGAGGAGCTGGCATCTCTCCTCCAAGGAATACGGATCAGCCTCAGCACCGTGTCCTCCCCACGTCACATTTTAGCACGTTTTCTCTCCAAATCAACCTTTCCAGCAGCACCTCCCGCCTCGTCCCCAGCCCCACGTGCAGCAGGAAGGGCTGTGCCTCAGTTTCCCATCCCCACTTGGCTGTGTGGGCTCAGCCTGCCCGCCCCCCCGGCGTCCCCACCGTCCCCAACCCATCGCGGTCGATGCTCCAGCTCTTCCCAAAGGGTTTCCCCATCACTCACTCGCTCTCAGCCCGATGCTTTCAGTTCCGCCGTCTCCTCCCAACACTTCGGGACTTTCTCCCGTGTTTCAGGAAAATGAAAGTAGAAAAGAAAAACAAGTTTTTTTTTTTTCTTTTTTTCCACCTCCGGGCTCCCCAAACCCTTTCCCCATCCTCTCCCCTTCTCCCTCCAACTTTTGCCCCATTTCTCCCCCCGCTCTTTCTGCCTTTTCTCCGGGATTCCACCCCCCTCTCCCTCTCCGTCCCGTCTCCCTTTGTCCCCTCTCGTCCTGCCCTTTCCGCCCGGGGGGGGTGGCCCCAGAGTTTCCATGGGGATGGAGGCGGTGGTTGCAGGAAAAAC